AGGAAAGAAAGAAAGAAAAGAAAGAAAGAAGGAAAGAAAGAAAGAAGGAAAGAAAGAAAGAAAGAAAGAAAGAAAGAAAGAAAGAAAGAAAGAAAGAAAGAAAGAAAGAAAGAAAGGAAAGAGAGAGAGAGAGAAAGAAAGAAGGAAGGAAGGAAGGAAGGAAGGAAGGAAGGAAGGAAGGAAGGAAGGAAGGAAGGAGAAGAAAGAAAAAGAATTGCTCAGCAAATGTTCCAAGTGTGAAAAGAGATACAACTTGTGGAGAAAACCAGGGAGAAGAGTAGTTAATTCTGGCTGTGAGAGCCAAGGGGAGATTCAGAAATGAGGCAGCATTTGAGCTTGGTGACAAGGTGAGTTAAGGGGCATTCCAGGCAGAGCGAAGACCGCATTGCCTAGGTCCTAAGGTTAACAAAGAGTATGTATGGCAAATGGGGGCTCTGAGTTTGTTAGGAATGTTTGCAATTTCAGGAATAGGAGGCATATGATGAAGAAGGTGAGGCAAGTCTGGGTAAGTAGATAGCCAGATAACAGGAGTCCTTTTAGGTCATATAAGGGAGAATGAGCTTTATCCACAGCTCTGTGACATGTTTCTCTCCTCATTTTTCTATGTTCTGTGGTCTTTACACGCCATTTATTAAGTGTTGGTGTTTCTCTGGGTCTAGCCTTCACTCTCATTGTTCTTCATGTCCTTGAGGAAACCCATGTGGTTTCCAGGATAATGAAACTGCCACATCCCTGCCACTAGCCCACATGTCCTTTCTGAGCTCCACCTTTCATAGACCTACTGATCACCTCTTCCCAGCATCTTACGGGGTCCTCGAGTTTAACTTTCCCAAACTAAACTTATTATAGTCTTCTCTAAAACAAGTCCTCATCTTTATTAAGGATCTCACCACACACCTTGCCACACAAGTTATTAAGTTCAGAGCTATTTCAACTTGACCTGCTCCCTGATTCCAAACATTCTGTTGGCTAGTAAATTCTGTCAGTTCTACCTTCAAACATCAAAACCTGTTCTCACTGACATTGTCATAGTTCAGGTTTCTTCATATGTTATTTAGACCAGAGCTTCTCAAATTTGGGCTTACATGAGCATCACCTGGAGAACTTGTTAAAACGCAGTTTCCAGGGATCTACTACTTGAGATTATGAGTTGGTGCTCCAGGTGGAACACTAGGATTTGCATTTCAAACACGATCCCAGGTAAGGCCGATTCTTTTGCTCCATAGGTTGTATGGTACCAGTTTAACTCTCCCAGTTGCCTCTTAACTAGCCTCACTTCTTTGGCCTCACAAGCTCCACTATTTCTAATGAAGTTACTGTTATAGAACACAATTCTTACCAAGTTGCTTTCCTGCTTATATATTTTGCAGGGCTACACATTGACCTCAATCTAGTGCACAACACATTTCCTTGCATGCCAAACCCTTGGCATGCTGATTGCAACCTAGTTTTCCAGTCTCATCTTTCTCCCCATGCCTGCTGAATAATTCCACTTATGTCTGTGCTTCCTTGTTCCAGTGATTTTGTATATCCTGTTCCCTGCACCTGCAATGTCCATTTGGTTCTTCCATTTCCCACCTATTCCTCACGCCACAATGGAAAATTGTTACTTGCTCGTTTAGACCCAACACTGATATGACTTTTGGTGCTCCAACTGCTCTTTATAGTGCTTTTATAGAAATTGCAATGTTTTATCTTCTCTGTCTATTGGTTTTTCCCACAAAAATGCCCACTCATCAAGGGAATGGACTTTGTCTTTTTTAGCTTTCTCAAATGTTTAGCACAATACTTTGCCACATCATAAAACTATGCTGTTGTTTAAACTGAATTTATCTTTATCAGTCAGTGTTACCCTAAATGTGTTCTACTAGTTCCAAGAAATGTTTTGATAAAAGATTTTCTGCTCTAATAATTTGATAAATCATAAATTCTATATAATAGTATATATAGGTTCTTTGAAAAAGTATTAAAGAATCCTGTTGTATTTTGTCTAATACATTATTACCAAAAAGTATTCGATTCCAGCATACCTCTTTGAGAAGTGCTCTAGAACTCAACAGGGAGTGGAGTTGGTATCTTAGAAAGATACTCTTGACTACCAAGTAAAGGATGGCCTGGGGTGCAGGGAAAGAGTGGGCCAAGGAGTTAAGAGACCAGCAATACTGGCAGAAATACCACGGGCCTGAATTTAGGCAGCGAATTAAGTGATGGGAACAGGTCAGAGCTCTGAGTGTTCTTTTAGAGTGTAATAAGCAGGGACCAATGGGAAATTGGAAAGGGAGAAAATGCAAACATTGAGAGTAACCATGAGGGTTATTTAGCTAGTACTGCATTCCATATTTGGGAAGGAAATATCTGACTCCATAAAGTGTTAGGCATGTCACTGGTCTGAGAAATACACTGTAGCTTACCACACAGCACTGTTTGAAGTCAGTTGGTCAGTAAGCTGCAAATCCTACATTTTCCTCCACTATCCAGATTAAGAAGAGAAGAATAGGAATTTTTATCTTACACTTTTATTTTTTTTTCTGGCTCACACAAACCAAAGTCCTGTAGCCCTGTCTTTACCTGCTTATTAGATATCCACTATGCCTAAAAAGTGTCTTTGTGACAGTGGTATTAACTGGGTCCTTTTGTGCCTCGGAGGACATTTGGCAAAGTCTGGGGAGATTTTTGGTTGTGACAACTGCTGTGGTACTTACTACTGGCATTTGTTGAAGAGAGGCCAGAGATGCTGTTAGTTGTCTCACAATGCTCAGGACAGACTCCCACAAAAAAAGAACTAGGAACTATCCAGACCAAAATGTCAACAGCACTGAGGTTGTAAAACCCTAGCTTATGCGAAGAAAAATTGAAGCATTTATTTTCTGACAATTGAAGAGCAGCAGGGGTTTTGCCTAAATTATTAGAATAACAACCACATTTATAGGCTTTGCTTTGTTAATATAGGCCTAGCCAGGTGGTGTTGAATAAGCATTAGTTCATGATTTAATCTTAGTTCCTTTCTCTTCCAGTGACTAATTATAAGCAATTTGAATTGCTATGTGTGATCAGCGATGTAAAAGTAGGACAAATGCACCTCTAATGAGACCATATTAGATTCTAAACTTAAAGTTCCCCAGAACCTGTGCTCTAGTGCAGGGACATAGCAGACACGGCGTGGCTTGTAGAGCCCCGTGTCCTGGAACTGGCTCCTGCCGCTGCTGCTCACTGACTGTGTGACTGTTCTATGCTTCCTCTGAGCCTCAGTTTCCCCATCGTGAAACTCAACAGTAATTTCCTCACCAACTCACCTTGAGGGTTAGATGCATTAATAGAAAAGTCATATATTAAACAAATATAAGCCCTGGCTGGCATAGCTCAGTGGATTGAGCGCGGGCTGGGAACCAAAGTGTCCCAGGTTCGATTCCCAGCCAGGGTACATGCCTGGGTTGCAGGCCATAACCCCCAGCAACCGCACATTCTCTCTCTCTCTCTCTCTCTCTCTCTCTCTCTCTCTCTCTCTCTCTCTCTCTCCCTCCCTCCCTCCCTTCCCTCTCTAAAAATAAATAAATAAAATCTTTAAAAAAACATTTAAAAAAAACAAAAACAAATATGTATTCTATTCCTACTGTGTTTCAGATCATATTCCCAGTGCTGGTGATATATCCATTAACAATACAGGGAAAAAAAGTCTACCTTTCTGGAGTTGGGAATGGTTGGAAGAAAGACAATGAGCAAGATAAAAAAGTAAAATGTTTAGGATGTTAAATGCAGTTAAGGGCTGTGGAGAAAAGCAAAGCAAGAAAAGAGCATGGTGTGCAGGGTGGGTAGGTTTTTATATTAGAAGGACAAGTGAACTTCTTTTTGTGTGTGTTAAGATTTAAAATGGGGAGAAAGTAAATCATGCCAATTTCGGGGGCAAGAGCATTCTGGGCAGAGGGTGGCATCCTTTGCCAAATTTCCAGGGCTAGGAAAGTGCAAAGAACATCAGGATGGCCAGAGAGCAAGGGGGAGATGTGAGGTGGGAGAAGGGAAGCAGATTGTGTAGGATCACAGAGACCTTTACGATAATCTCAGCCATATAAACATTAGCTCATTATTATTGCCTGTAGGTAAAATGTTCCAATGTGCTTTATAGCTCACACAAAAATATTCCATAAACCCCTCAAAATTCTGTGCCCTTCTAAAAATGTTTTTAAAGATATCCTTCATTTAAGCAAAATGGCAAGGCGTCTAAGTGCAAAGGACAAAATTCTAGAATTCTCATGGCCAATCTGCTCCGTGGGTTCTTTTCTTGCGGCAGCCACCCACTCTGCCTTGGAGCCCCACCCAAGGGAGAGCAGAAAAAAGTTAACTCTGGTGCTTTTTTTCTTCTTCATTTCTACAATAAGAATAGTTTTGCTAGGCTGCCTGAGAAATTAAACTACACCTTCTTTTGTTGTGCTGCTGCTAGTATAGTTTTGCTCTTAGAGATGGTTTGTATTCATCCTGAGAAAATGAAAATTTTATTTATATACAGCACCATTATCCAATCATGGAGTAGGTACAGATTAAGAATTTCTAAGATTTTGAGCAGATATATTCAAAAACTTTTTACTATGTGCAAATGCTTTCAATTTCCAATCTTACTCCATGCTATTTTCTGTTTCTGTTTTCTGTTTTCTAAGAGGAGAAGCAGGACCCAGCATTGTTATTTGCAGTGAACACACTTTCCCAACAAAACCATAAGCAGTAATAATTTTTCTAAAGGACTCGGGCTGACTCTACTCTCATTTGAGTCTAAAATTATGAAGAAAGGAAAGGTCTTCTGTTCCAAGAGTAGTTGTTGCTAATCTACTCATCAAAACAAATTATTTTGGTATTATAGGTGAAAGTTTGAACCTGATAGAAAATTTTCACTTATCAAAAAGACTTAAAAAATTTTAAAGCAAAAAAAATCCTTTAATGTATTTTTCTGGTCTTTTTATTTTAAAAATTTATTGGGTGGCATTGGTTCATAAGATTACATAGGTTTCAAGTACATTTCTGCCGACATGATTTTGAAGTCCAAATATTTCTTCTGTTTTTAAAATATATCTTTCCCCTATTAAAACATGTTTTAGTTTTTCTCCACGTGTGATAAAAAGACCCCATGGTACAATCAGAACCACCTCTTTATTCTATGTTTTGGAGTCAAGGGTCCTCAGTAAAACTTTCCAGATCTGGAAACATAAAGCTATAAACTAGAGAAGTCTTCCTTTAACTGTTGAATTCAGCAAGATTGTTTAGCTTATTCCGCCATTTCATGTATTTTATGGATTAAGATTAGACCCCTGCCACTGCCCTGTGGATTTGTCCCATTTGTCTGTCTGTGTGTCTGTCAGCTTTTCTCTCTTGCTTTGTAGAGCTCTCACACTCATTCTTTCACCCTCTCTAAAGACTGACTTTTCTGTACCAAATGGTAATACGAGCTTTTCTGACCTGAGGAAAATGATTTCCAGGAATTTGTGGAAATAACATTTTAAATACAAAGTACATTGTTAGTGGGAGAGTCATACTGTCCTCCTGTGACTTGCAGGGATGTCCCAGCGTTGGGGCAAGAGTAAACACAGAGACTCACTTCTTAATCTAGCACACACATTTTTGGGGGGAGGGAGGATCCATGGCCCAGAACACTGCTTGCTCCATGTTTCCAGAAGAGACTCTCCCAGCAAGTGCATATGGGTTAGATGTGCCTTCCAGGGAGAGGCGCAGCCTTATTGTGATGCTCTGGTTTCTTCTTCATTTTTTAGAAAAAAGTTCCAATTTCCAAGGGACATGGGCAGACAACTCTTCTGTTTTTAGAGTCACATTTCTGAGTTACCTATTGATTGCCAGAGGAAGAAAAGTGGTGAAAGCTAAATCTGCCCTTTACCCTGAAATTTGTATTCCTTTGTGTCTTTCTTCATTTTCCTATCAAATTTATGGGAGGGTATGTAAACTTTTAAAAAAACACCATTGGCTTTCCCTTATTTGAGCTGCCTGCCAGAAACCCTTAAAACAGAATATGTAACATGACATTATACAAAAACCCTGGCCATGTCTTAGACTAGCTGCAAGGTTCTTATGTCCTTCCCTTGCTGTTCTGTTATGAAAATAAGTAACTACACAGATACAAGTTCTGCCTCATAGGACTTTTGCAAATTATGGGAAGTAGCTTGCATTTACATTTTAGGAATAATCTTTTTTGGTTCATTTCTTTCAAGTAAAATTCTGTTTTTGCTGTAGCAAGGCCCTGGTTGGAAAAATATAGAAGAGAAAAAAAAAGAAATTTTTACAGAAAAATTACAATTATAGCCGTGTCTTAAACTGCTTCTGCCATGTTCTGATCAGCACACCAAGTGTTTATAATATACTAAGGATGAAATTACTGTTACGCCTCATAGAGCTTGCTGCCAAGGGTGTAAGGTAGACATTTAATCCACCCCATGCATGTTCCCCAGCTCCCATCAGTGCTTATTGTGAGTAAAGTTGCTATAAAAATATAGAGAAGAGTTTATGAAAGTAAATGTGGGACTAACTCATAACAATGTCTCTACAGTCTTACGGTGGTTACGTTTCATCACTGGCCCTTGCGTCCGGAACAGGTCTTTTCAAATGTGGGATAGCAGTAGCTCCAGTCTCCAGCTGGGAATATTACGGTATGGAAGCATTTTGTAAACCTTGCTGAAAAAAACATTTAACACATAATTACTTTTTATTTGAGGTTGCTAAGAAAACAAATGATACAGTAAAATGCACCTCAGCATCACTGGGGGAAATACAATGTATAAATAAGGTTATTTTTATGATTCATTATAATCATCACAATCAACGCAATTTTAGAGTGAGGAAGGACTTGTCCAAAATCCAACATATCTTTTTCTTTCCAGAAACCTTGTTCCTCCGGCTGAAACAATCCTTTATAGTCAGAGGTGACTGGCTTTCTGAAAGCTCACAGTTGCAGGATAGCTGGATTTTAAGCACATCCTATACAAAGTCAGACGGAACCTAGTAATTCACCTCCACACCACCATTTTGAAGCTTCCAGCACCATTGCTCCAGGAATCATAACAATAAATATCTGTTCAAGAAATACACCTCTCCTAGCTGCCTATTTCTATGATTAATGTCAATGATTAATATCAATGTTTAGAATTAACTAATAATTGTATGAAAATTAGATTTCATCATATCCCCTTCCCTGTGTTGGGGAGAAATGAGATGATTGTGACTTGTAGGAATCTTTATTCAAAAAAAAAAGTATATGTATGTTGGAGGAGGAGGATTTAGAGGATATATTTCCATCCCAGATTAACTAACATGAAGGGAAGTAATACAGGTGGCTGCATTTGTGATTTCCTTTAAAATATAATGGGGTCATTCCATGGGGTCATTCCTATCTCAACATTCCCTCAACTGATGTGCTTTGGGTAGAAGTAAAAAAGCTAAAATTCAGCTCTTTCTAATGATAGATGCTCCTGCTTCCACGTTCTCCTCCTCCATTACTTCTCTAGCCCCACGGAGGCAAATTGCAGAGCAGAAGTCTTGGAAGGAGCATCACAGTGCAGGAAAGCAAAGCCCTCCCTCAGCAGCTGCACATGGGATCACTGAGGAGCAGTTATCGAACCAGGAGGTCTCACTGGTTAATGACAAGGCACATATCATATGTAAACAACACATTCTTATTTATTTTGTAGCGTCAATCTACACAGAGCGATTCATGGGTCTCCCAACAAAGGATGATAATCTTGAGCACTATAAAGTAAGAATTTTTGTTTTATTTGGGTCACTAATTTATTTCAAGTGTGCAAAATAATTTCAAAGCTGCCATTCAGAGTTCACACTTTTGCTGGGTCCCCGAGCAAATGTGATGATCTTTTGTTAGCTACAAAACACCTCACTAGAAAGAAATTTACTCCTTTTGGATTTTATTCTTTCTTTCCCCTGCCTTCTCCCCACCCCCAACCCCTACACAGCTTGAGCAGGCATCATTTATGCCTAAGGTCTCACTCATATGTAACATATGACACATAAACTTTCAGTTTTTCAAACCAAGAATCAGATGGAAGTAATGCAAATGATGAAGAAAATGTGTTGCTCTGACTCTTAAATATTTATCAACCAAAGCAATACATAATTTCAGTATTGGTGCTAAGTCCATTGCACAATGATTTAGCTAGTTTTCTATTAGAACTTGCAGCAACTAAAATGTTAATTTTTCCTCTTTTCCAGAATTCAACTGTGATGGCAAGAGCAGAATATTTCAGAAATGTAGACTATCTTCTCATCCACGGAACAGCAGATGGTGAGGTTTAAGCAAGACTCTTACACATAAAAATACTGAGCCAGCATCACTTTGTTTAAGAAACATTAAGCATCCTCCTATGCCCATGCTCAGGGTCAGTACCTAAGAGTCAGGGACAGTTCCATAAACGAGTGTGATTACGCACTGCTGACAATGTCAACGGCATGACTAGATAATTGTTGGTGCTCATTTCCAGGCAGTACATTGTCACTCTGTGCTTTCTGGTATTTAACAGCGCTTTAACTCTCTCTCTTTGTTGCAGATAATGTGCACTTTCAAAACTCAGCACAGATTGCTAAAGCTCTGGTTAATGCACAAGTGGATTTCCAGGCAATGGTACATAATTTCATTTTACTCATGTTCATGGCCTTAGACCCCTAAGCATAAAGGAGGAACCTTATTTTTAATTTCCTTTTGTTTTACTAAAATCTGACAAAGAGACTGAAGGGTAGAGTAGGCATACCCAGCAAATGAATCTGGATCTTTCTTTAACTTTCTGAAGAACATTAAGCTAAGTCACAGCACCTCTGGTGATTCCAGCTGAATCATGTATAAAATAAAGGCATCCACTTGATGAGATGATCTCCTAGCTCACACATTCAATAGCTCTGTGGTCCTATGTGCTGAGACCCTGAAAAAACCTGGGAGCCCCAAAGTAGCTGGAAGATCCTGTTTATTCAGTAAGAAGTAATTGCAGAACATTCTCAGAGACCCTGGAGGCTCCCTGAAGTCATGCAGCTCCACTTGGAGTTAGGAAATATTTCCTTGGGTTATGTCCTCAGCTCCTGGCACATACTTGGCCCCACCACGGGAGCTTCCATTTTCACTGAGGGGAAGAATGAATGAGCTAACTGTAATGCCCAGGCTGCATGAGGAATGGGAAATGAAAACAGAGGAAAATAAAGCAAAGCCAAGGCAAGGGAGACAATCTTTCCCCCTCTTGGGGAAGCATAGATTCTTCCTCACTCACTTATATTGAACAACAATCCAGAAAAAGAAACCCCCATCTTTTTGAAATTTGGTTTTTTAAAATAATGTACAAGGGTGAGATGAGATTTTTCTGGTCTTTTTTTCACTGTGATTCTCCCCAAAGTAAATTTAGTTTATAAATCCTTAACATTACATATGACCACTAGCCGCCTTTGTTCAGTGAAAACTATAATCTTACCAGCATCTTTCCAACAGTGGAGTTTAATCTATGACACCATATTTCTGCTTTTTTAATGATACTATTTTTAAGTCCTTTAAAGGATGTTTACCGTTATATGTATTGTGGGTTTTCCACCATAGAAAAGAATTAGAGTCGGAGACTAAAATCCTTATGGAATGTTTGAGATAGAAGGAACTTTAGGGAAAAGCAAACCCAAACCCCTTATTTTACAAATAAGGAGACCAAGCTCCAGAGGAGCGAAGTGCAGTCCCAGCATGTGAGCTCTGGCACCCACGCCTGCCTCCTGGTCCTCCAGGCCATTGGCCACTAGGGGAGCTTAGCCACCGAGAGCCAAAAAACAGTTTAAAGTATATGAAAGAAACAGTAGTGAAGGTTAATAGGAGCTCTTTAAATCTTTCTGCTCCAAACATTTATGTTTGTTTATTTGAGTGTTCTTAGGTAGAATTTCAACTATAATATTAGAAAAACTAGTCAGGTCCTGGGAGCTTCTGAAAGTCAAAGCTGGGTGTGTTGCGCAGCTACAGGAATAAAGCAGGCTCCTTCCTTTTGTGTTTCAGTGGTACTCTGACCAGAATCATGGCATAACGGGCGTGTCTACGAAGCACCTCTACACCCACATGACCCACTTCCTAAAGCAGTGTTTCTCCCTGTCAGACTGAAAATGGTGCCAATACAAGCCTGTTTCACAGTCTGAATATTTCAGATAAATGCTTCAGACTGTTTGCTTGTTTTACTCTTTATGTTGTTAAAATGTTGGTGTAAACAAACGAATGTTGTTCGAATGACTGGCAAAAAAATTAGGGCTCAGAAGTTTGACGGAAATATTGTCTACATTTCCCGATACTCTGCAAAGGAAGAGAAAAGGGAGCCATGCCTTTTGCTTTGGACACAGCATCTTATCACCTGTTTATGTGAGGCAAACAATAAAGTCAGAAGTTAAAGTGCTATTATCTTGCCTACGTTCATTGATTTCAGGTTCCAGTTTCTGTCACAGAGAGAAGTGGTTCTGCTAGGCAAGGACGGGGCTAATATTAGGGTGGTTGGTCATGAAGGAAGAGAATTTAGAAGCTCTTTGAGATGCATTTTGTAGAGGTTTGCACTCCATGCTGTCCCTCCAAAAAATGTTTATTGAATGTCTCTCAGAAGATTTCTTCAACATTGCCAAAAGCTTTTCATAAGGATAAAATCAGAATTTTCAATTAAGGCTCCTTTTAAGAAACACTTCAAAATTGGAAGCGTTTCTATTTTGTATCCCTTTTTTGAATTAGTAATAGTAACTGCCTTCAGATCACTAAACCACACCAAACTAAATGAAACAAATAAATTAAATAACATCAATAGCTACAAAGGAAAAATGTTCTATCTCTGAAATTTTTCTGGGGTTTTAGTTTACATTATAGTTTACTTTGAAAAAGGAAAAAAAATGCATAATGACTGAAATCACAAAGACAATGCTCTGCCAGTAACTGTCCCCGTCCAGTAGAAAGTTATGGGCAGCTTGCCATCTCTGTGGTACCACAGAATTTCAAAAGGACCCCACCAGGTCTCCAGAAACCATTCCCAAAATGTATGTTGGAAGTCTCCCTGAAGCCACTGCCTAGGGGACTGTTCACTGACATCTTTCCCAGCTCTGATTGCCCTGGATGACTACCCCCATCCCTAGCTTGATTTCCCTCAGCTGCAGGTAGAAAACCTCATGCCTTCTCTCACACTCTATAGCCAGAAGAACCAAGGCAGGCATGGACCATTACAGCAGGAAGGGGCCAAGAAGGTCATAGAACACAGACTCCTTTAGAGTTTTCAGATTTCTCAGTTCAACACTCTTTCTGCCATTGTTTCCTAAACGCATTCCCCCGACTCGGGCCTTAGAGTCCCACCTTGGTCCTCCAGAAGGGCTGGTTTCTAGTGGTCAGGGAGCCTGGGCAACACCCTCACAGATTCAGGCCAGAGCCTCTCTCCTCCACAGCAGCTGCTGGGGGTGGGACAGGAGCCCATACCTCCCCTTTCCATTCCGTGTGGAGCAGCTTCTGGAGTAAGCCCAGATTTCCTCATAATTTTTTCATCATTCACTCTCTCCAGCCAGGGAGAGGAGAAAAATGAACAGTCATTTCCTGCTCTATCCAGGGACACAACAGGGCAATAAACAGCAATAGAAAGCCTTGTACTTCTACTTATTTTCCGCCATTGTGGAATCCGCAAGCCTGGCATTCAGCATCACCGAGCAGTAAGCGGTCTCCAGCCTCAGGCCTTTGTTCCCACTGTCTCATGGCAACTTCTAAAAGACAAATCCAAGTATGTCATTGTCCTGTGCAGAAACCTCCAGTGATTGTCTGCTGCCTACAAAACAATACTGTAGATATCAGATGTAGAGCAGTGCCATCATCACAAAAAATGCCATTAGTGGGTGACATCCTCAAGGAGTCTTCATAGACCGTATCTTGGAACACAGCCCATGACAGAAGCTCAGCAACTGGTGAGGGAGTGAATGCCTCTGTGCTCACGGAGACTCAGGTTTTCTGCTTCACTGTTGACGAAGCCTTCCCCGGGCCCTCCGGCAGAACCATCCAGATGCTCCTCAGGACTGTCAGCATGTGTTTATGTATTTATTCATTTATTCAGCAAACATTTATTGAGTTTGTCTGTATACTAGACACTCTGCAGGACTTTGAGGATACAATGGAGAGCAGGGCAGCAACTTGAGAAGCAGTTTTGGGGGTCTTTTTTAATGTTCTCATTTTGTGGAGCTTTATTAGTTTCTTTCATTTTGGCTTGGAAGATAAAGGGTACACATAAACTGCAAAGGGGAAAGATTTTGGTAGAAAGTACTAAACTAGAGGGGATGATTTTTTTTTAATCTGACCTTTTATACTTGTAGGAAGCAAATTATAATAACTACTCTTCACCACACTTTAATCTTGCAGATGAAGTTTGGGGAGAAGGGTTTCCCAACACCATAATTAATGCACAGTTATCCTTCATATAATAAAAACTTGAGATTTTCCTTCATTTATCCAACAAATGGACTTGAAGTCACTGCTTTCCGTACCCCCACCCCCTCAAAAAGACAAGTATATTCAACAAGCAGGAGCTTAAAGTGCTGTAAAGTTGAGAAAGGGGTGTCATCACAATGCAAGTTCAAATGAGATCAGTACTCTAGGGTGGAATCCTAGTGTGTGCTAGAAGGAAACCATAAAAAATTATACCACCTCAAGATAACCTCCTGTGTTAGCCTCACAATGCTGACCTTAGAGCTATATTTAAAAGTTTCAAAATTCTAAGTGAATAAAATTTTTTAGAATGAATGAGAAAGAAGCAGCAAGAAAATGGGTATTCTGTTAAATTTAACATAAATGAGGGAACTTTATTGAAGTTTTAACTTTTAAAAAATCTACCCCAAGGCATAAAACATATGATTTGTTTCTTCAAGAACCCTCTCCCGAATGCCTGCGCCGTGTGGGGAGTGCTCTCACACTGCAGAGGTTACAGAGATGACTTATGTGACAGTTTCTCCGTTTATGGACTGTTTCAGTAAGGGCGACTTAACGAATCTGATTTTCCCAACATTTGAGCATTTTTCAGAAACTGACAGATCTTTATGCAAATGTTGTTGCCAAGCTGTTTGTAATGGTGAAATTATACTTTGACAGTAACTCTTTAAAATATATTAAACCCAGCTAAGGTTTTTTTGGAAATGTTGCCAATTAAGTGACTTTAATGAGCTTCTTGATGGTAATGTAATTAAAATTCAGATGTTCTAATTGTAAAAAAAATACAGTTCTGGGAAAGTTAACAGTAAAATAAGCAAATGTGAAATGAATTAGGGCTAATTTAAATAGTGATTATGTGGTCTTCTGAGAAGATTCTACCAAAACAATACTTTTAAATATGCTGTTTGTAAAGAAGAAAGAAAGCACCTACCAGATCATTTAAATTTAATCCAATAGAGCAGATATTTTGATTTTATCCAATAAAACAGATCAAAAAATTCTGAACACAGTAAATCATTCTCAGCTTGTAAAAGGAGAAATGCTAAAACTCTTCCTTGGCATTACAGCCAGGTACCTTGGCAATTGAAAGGGGAATAATAAATTAGATTTAGGGAGAAATAAGTGCCTGAATCTTACCAAGCTATTCATGGGGAAAATTATCTGGCCTCTAGCAAAAGTCTCTAATGACCACCTGCTCAGATTATTGGCATGCAGTTCCAACATGCTGGTCATAAACACTTCCTTTGGATAAACAGGTAATGTCTTTGGCAAGTTAGAGCAATATGATTTCATTCTATTAGCCTCTAATTAATACTCCATTACTTACTTTACTTAAAAATTGCTTTGACAATATCTGTTTTCACCAATATCAGTTGGTACAGCATCCCACCCTTCACTTTGTGGTTGCAGAGAGTCTGTTTCCTGTGAGTGAGAGAGAGCGGTAATTAAGCCAAGGTCATGCCACATGGTTAGAAAACTCATTTTCCTTCTTTCATAATTACTGCTAATTGACAAGCAAAGTAAGGAGCATCTTTGCTAGTCATTCATTATTAGGAGCAGGAATTTTTCTCATTGTTACAGAAGGTGAGTTTTTGAGATAAATGTCTTAAACCTTTAAATTTGTTTGAAAAAAAAAACTATGATCCATTCACACATCTTCAGTTTGTTCCTAAAACATACTTTTAGATATTTGTGGACTTAATATATATTTTCAGTATATCATAAAAGTTGCTTATATCACACTGGAACTAAGCTATACTTATAGCTTTAAGAGATGATAAAAAGCAACAATGCTTTATACAAGTACTAGGTATATACTAACAGGAAACAATGTGTCTCTCTTGTTTTTTTTAGAAGATTAAAGCAATACTTTGCAATATTGCAAATTACTTCCTTTCAAATAAAATTCAAGATAGCCTATATGTCAATTCTTTTAAATATAATATGTTCCTTAGAGCTCATTTTAGAGGTGGTAAACATTATAAACAAAGGCACAACACTAACTCGGACTATCTGGTTTGTATCCCAGCTTAGTGACCTGCTAGCTGTGTGACTGCTCAGTTTTCAAAAATTCTCTCTGCTTCAGTTTCTTTGTCTGTGAAATGGAGGATAATCATTGTTCCTGCCCCATAAGGTTGTTTGGAGGTTTAAATTATTTGTTATCTATAGAGCTAACTATCTATATTGTTTGACTGATTGTAAGTATTTTGTGAGGGTTTGTGAGATATATGAAATAAACCACTTTTTAGTTAGCATTTTCTTTTTTTTAATTTAATCTTTTATATTGTTTTCCATTACTGTTTAGTCTTCTTATACCCTTTCCCCAGCAGTCACCACACTGTTGTCGATGTCCATGCATCCTTTTTCCTTTTTGCTCAATTCCTCCACCCACCCGCCACCACCACTAGCTGTCATCCTGCTGTCTATCTACGAGTCTGTCCCTGTTTTCCTTGTGAATTCAGTTTGTTCATCAGATTCCACATATGAGTGAAATCATATGGTATTTGTCTTTCTCTGACTGGATTATTTCACTTAGCATAATGTTCTCTGTGTCCATCCATATTGTTGCTAAGGGTAAAATTTTCTTCTTTTTTATGGCCAGGTAGAATTCCACTGTGTAGAAATCCCATAGTTGTTTTATCCACTCATCTACTGATGGGCACTTGGGCTGCTTCCATATCTTGGTGACTGTAAATAACACTGCAATGAACATAGGGGTAAGATTAACAGTCTGATTCAGAAGCCAATAGTTTCTTTCCCATATCAATGAATTTAGTTTACGTTTCAAAATCATCAAACACTTACAGATTAATCTTTTTCTGAAATGATGTCACCTTTTAGGAATAACCAATACAGAAGCCATTAGTGTCCAAGGAAGCTTGGTACTTTATCTTGAATAAGTTGTTCATCCTTGTATCTCATCACCTGTCTAAGGAGTCAAATACTTGATAGTAGTGATGGAAACACCTTTGGAGAAGACGGGCTATCAGGGAAATGTGTATTTGGAGGACATGGACAGTCCAATGTACAGGCTTCATGCACAGCCTACATAGCATCACACAGGCCTTCTGCTCTAGCCTGGCTCTACCTTCTCCCACAGCCGTCCTCACTGGTCTCCTTTCTCCCTCTCTCTCTCCCTCTCTCTCTCTTTCTCTCCCTCTCTCTCTCTCTGTCTCTGTGTGTGTGTGTGTGTGTGTGTGTGTGTGTGTGTGTGTAAACCAAGCTTATTTCTGTTTCAGTGTCTGGAATGTGGTTTACTCTAATTTTCACCTGGCTGTGTCTTTGTCATCTAAGCCACAGCTCACATGTCACCACCTTAGAGGGGACTTCTCTGGTCACTGTATTCTACCACACACATCTGAAGACTTCCAACCACATTATCCCATTGTGTTTTCTTGATAGCACTTATGAGTATCAGAAATTATTTTACTTATATATGTGCTTCTTTGTTACCTATTTCCTCCAATCACATTTAAACTCACTATGAGCAGTCACCCTCTCTGTCTTTGCAAATCTCTGCACCCAGGGCCTGGACAGTCCTGGAATTTAGGTAGGAGGAGCTTGATAAAATTTTGCTGAATATATTCCCATTTTCTGTGGATGGGGGGCCCATGAGACTAGAATCCGTACATGTAATCTTGCAGTGGAAATAGATCTCATCCTTTTTGGAAGTAACTATGTCATAGGAATTGCTTTTTTCCCACTCAAAGCAAAGAGAAAGAAAATTCCCTGAACAGCAGATGAGCCACAATCAGGAGAATGGGGTTAGGAAGGACACAAATCTTAGAAATCTAAAAGAGGTTGGTCTTTTAAACACAAAGGATTTTGGTTAGGAAATGACAACACAATTCACTGTACTGTCCTACCCCTGATTCTTGCTGCCTCTAGGTGAATCATCAGAGCACCACAGACTGAGAAACTTTGGTAAAAATGTTCAGACTGAAAAAAGTCAGATAAACTCCTGGAATACTGTTGATTCCTCTAGTAGCTTTAAGGATTATTTTTAGATTTTATTTGTTTATTTTTAGACAGATGGGAAGGAAGGGAGAAAGAGAGGAAGAGAAACATCAATGTGTGGCTGCCTCTCACACATCCCCAACTGGGAACCTGACCTACAACCCAGGCACGTACTTGACTGGGAATCGAACTGGCGACCCTTTGATTAGCAGGCTGGTACTCAACCCACTGAGACACACCAGCCAGGGCTAGTAGCTTTTATTAAAAAAACCAGTAGTTTCAAAAATATGTTTTACTTAATAAATACATTTCAACCACTAATAGTTTCTTTCACATTATAAAACAATGATACCTGTGACTTACACAATGATACCTGTTTCTGTCTTCAGATCAGGTAGGTCATAAGTTCCATCCCTGAAAGTTTGCTTGGTTGGTTCTTTTAAATTCAGATTATAAACTTGGAGTCATCAAAAAGAAGCCACTGGGAAAAAAAATATATATGTACACACACACACACACACACACACACACACACACACACATATAGTCTTAAAATAATTGTCATCACCATCACCATCTTCCTTAATGAGAGTGATTTTATATGAATTAATTAAAGGTTGAGAATCCTGTATTGGAAAATGTAACAGATGCCTTGGAGTACAGCTCCAAATCTCACGCAGCTGCTGAGGCCAGCCAGGCAATCAGAACAAGCGAGGAAACTCAAGGAGGTGTCAGCACGGTCTCTCATAACCTAAGGGTGGGACACTGGCAAGCTGGTGGGCACACGAAAGAGACAACTACTGGTTCAAATTGTCGCCATGTAGGAACATGAGCCTGTTGTCTCCTGGCCTGATTTTTGTCAAGAGAAGTCAGAAAACTGGATTGTAAAAAGGAAACTCTTAATTTTGAACCCTTGACAGTTAATATATGAGTAAATAAAACTCATCTGTGTGCCAGATTTGATCTGTGGGTATCAACTTCTATTTTGAGTACGGGTTATATACCAAGTACTCCATATACATTGTTTCATTTAATTATCCAAACTCTGTAAATTAGAAATTAAAATATGTATATTTCTGATTAGGAAAATGAGGTGTAAGTTACAGAACTTACCTGAGATTCAGGTATAGTTCAGGTGTTCAGGTGTGTCACACGATGGGCTTCCTATACCTGCCATGCCTCCATCTATGTGGAATGCCTTTTCAGATGGCTTTGTCACAATTCCTGTCACTAATGAAATGCTCAATGCAAAGTATTAATAAACAACCCTAGTAATAGGCCCTTATCAATCATTATAAGAATTTAAGTACAGTTAATGAAGTAGCTATGAAGTCACTGCTTAAATAAACATTTATATGTTGGCTTTGAAAACAGAGTTTGGTGCCTCCCTCGATAACTTAGTGACTTCTGTGGGGTTTGCATCTTGTTTCTGGCCCTAGCAAAACATTGTGCATGTACAGCAGAGTTATCCAATATGTAAATCCAATTCGTGACTGGACTCAAAATAACGTTAGCTTTCCAATCTTCCTGTCACCTTTCCTCCACTCACCAGTGTTTTTTCTCGATGTCTTCTCTCTGATGTTACCCCTGCTCTGTGCCTTCCCACACCTGTTCTCCTGCCAACTCCTACACCATGGCCGTGGAGCTACAGAAGGAGGCAGAATCGGGGGGGAAGCTTCGAAGATCTCACACGAGAATGGTCCCCAAATTGGCATCGGGTGCATCTTGCCAACAGCACTTAGGCTGCCAAAGCAGAGGCTCCAGAAATAAAGAACAATGAAAGTGTAAACCTGCAGTTTCATTCCTCCAGATTAGGTTTTTAGAAAAACAAAAAGTAAAAAATTTTAACTTTGTGTAGAATAAGTATTTCTGTGTCTCTTCCCTGTTTTTAGTTGGTGGCTGTCAGTGTATGCTGTAAACACACACACACACACATACACACGTGTGTGCCTCTAGGTTGCCAAACCACTTTCAACATAATATCTGGAGTAATTTTATTTACTTTTTCAAGTTACAGTATCAGGAGCCATAAAATGTTTACATAGTCTTCTCTGGTGAAAAAGTTGTGCCCAGGGAAGCCTGCTATTGGAAGCACTAGTATCAGTTCCTTGACGCAGACATAGAGTCTCATGCATGGTATTTCTTGTTAACAAATATTGGGAATTCATCCTTATCAAAGAGTTAAAACTTTGTGATAAACCCTATAAACCACTACTCAACAGCAACATGATCCTTGAATCATATTTCCCAGAAAATAAGTGGTCGTGGAGACAATGCATGCAATTGTTAAGATATATAATTTATTAAAATGTATACTTTATTAGAATTTTATTCATTTTAAATAATTATTTCTTATGTTATACTCATATATGTTTTATATGTATAAAACACATATTTATATATACATACACATATATAAGTATGTGCATATATATTTATTTTTAACTTTATCTGTAGGGTGCCAGTATCTAGAATACATAAGGAACTCTTACAATTCAACTGCAAAATTTAAAAATGGGCAAAGGACTTGGACATTTCTCCAAAGAAGATATACAAGTGGCCAACAAACCCATGGTAAAATTCTCAGTATCCTTAGTCAATAGGGAAATGCAAATTAAAGCCACAATGAAGTACCTATGAAGATGGCTACTTAAAAAAGAATGGGTACAGAAAACAGACTGACAGCTATCAGAGTGAAGGGGGTTGGGGACTGGGTGAGAAGGATGAAGGGATTAAGCAAAGAAATAAAAAGAAAGACCCATGGCCACAGACAACAGTATGGTGATTGCCAAAGGGAAGGGAGGTAGAAGGAAGCAGAAGAGGACCAAGGGGGGATAAATGGTGATGGAAGGAGACTCAACTTGGTATGGTAAACACACAATATTATATACAGATGATGTACTGTGTAATTGAATTGTACCTATATATTTTATTAACCAAGGCCACATCAATAAATTGAAAAAAGAGAGAGAGAAGAAGATCTAGACCAGTCAGTTTACTAGTTAATTCAAAATACATGAACAAGTGCAGGTAAGATCAGCACTATTGCCTAGCTGACCCATGGGCTGAAGGAATAATAAATCCTTATTGTTTTAAGCTGTGACCTCCGCACTCCAAAAATAAGAAAAGAAGTGTTGGCAAGGATATGGATAAGTTGGAACTCTCATACATTGCAGGTGGGGATGTCAATTGGTTCAGCTGCTGTGGAAAGCAGTTTAGGAGCTCCTCAAAAGGTTAAACATAGAATCATCATATAACCCAGCAATTCCACTCCTAGATATATACTCAAAAGAATTAGGAGCAGATTCTTTATCAAATACAGGTACAGGCATATTCATAGCTGCACTATTCACAATGGTCAAAGGGTGGAAACCATCCAAAGGTCAATAAAAGGATAAACGGATAAACAAATTGCCATATATATTCAGCCATAAAGAGGAATGAAGTACTGATAAATACTATTATGTATATGAACCATGAAAATATGCTAACTGAAAGAAACCAGCCACAAAATACTATTGTATGATTCTATTTATGTGAAGTATCCAGAACAGGTAAATCTGTAGAAATAGAAGGCAGAAGGTTGCTGGAGGACACAGCTAAGGAAAGGAAGAGACAGTACTGCATAGATAGGGAGCTTCATTCTGGAGGGAAGGACATGTTTTGGTACTAGACAGGAGTGGGGGTTGCACAACACTGAGAATGTACTCAATGCCACTGACTCATTCATTTAAACAGGTGTTGATTTTGTTATATACATTTCATCTCAATGTTTTAAAATCTGTTTTTTTGAAATTTCATCTGTAAGAATTTTCAGTATAAGTAATCTGTATTATTTATAAACAAATAAATATGGCATTACTTCTAGAATCAGTGGACTCAAGTTTTGATATTAAAAAAAGCATATTCCAGGAACTTAAGTGTTTTATAAATATTTATCATGACCCTTCCTCATTTCCAGTAAAAGAAACACTTTCATTCTTAAAGAAAAAATTGAAATTTGTTATACTTATTTTAACCAGATGCTCTTCACTCTATTATACCTTTGGATATAAGAAAGAAGAAACCCATAGGATTATTACAGATCCATACCTTAAACCTCTTGAGCATTCAAAATATTTAGACCTTTCAAATATTGGAAATTCCCTTGTCTGACAAATTCTGTTCTTCCAGCTTCCTGCTCAACTGCATTCACCACAGCAGCTCTTCCAAAGTAATTTTTCAAATACCAGAACTCAGGCTGCCTCCTTTTCTGTCTTCACATCGATCTAGAGAAAACAACAAGAATGGGCACTCCTTTCCAAGACCTGTCCCACTCTTTTGCTCTGCTCTGGATTGTATGTTCTTTTAATGTCCTCAGCTTCATCAGCAGAAAGTGAAACCACAGCTGTTTGAAAAGGTGAAAAGTCAATTGTGTGACATATTTAAAACTCACGGATCTGATTCTTTAAAAATAGAATCTCCACCATCACTTTAGAAGGCAGTTTGGCAGTCCCTCAAAAGTTAAACAGAGTTACATAACCCAGCAATTCTACTTCTAGAATTATTTCTCTTCTTTTTTTATTTAAGTATAGTCTGCAATATTTATTACTTATGTTAGTTTCAGGTGTATGATACGGTGATCTGACATGTCTTTACCTTACAATGATGGCCCCACTAATTCTAGTAATCACCAGTCATTGTGCTCCCCTTCACCTTTTTCACCCATCTGCCATCCTCACCCCTTCAGGTCACCATCCCTTGGGTCTCTGTTTCTATGCACCTATTTTGTTTTGTTTTATTTGTTCATTTTGTTGTAGTTGTTTTTAGATTCCACATGTAAATGAAATCATACAGCATTTGTCTTTCTCTGTCTGACTTATTTAACTTAACTTAATACCCTCTGGATCCATCCATGTTGCCCCAAATTAAAGGATTTCATTTTTTTGTTGCTTTAGAATTCTTCTAGAATTTTACTTTGCCTAAGAAAATTAAAAGCACAGTCCAGGCCAAAACTTATACCCAAATATTCATAGCTTTATTTATGTTAGCCAAAAAAGTGGAAATAACCCAAATGTCCATAAACTGATGAATAATTCAACAAAATGTGCTATATTCATACAATGGAATATTATTCAATCTATTGAAACTATGAAGCATTATTAAAAGAGATTATAAAAGACACAATGACATGGATACTACATGCTCATGGATTGGAAGAATCAACATAGTTAAAATGGCCATGTTATCCAAAGCAATATGCATATTTAATGCAATTCCACCAAAATCCCAATGTCACTTTTTAAAGAAATAGAACTGAAAATCATAAGATTTGTACTGAACCACAAAAGACCCCAAATAGTCAAAGCAATCCTGAGAAAAAAGAAAAAAGCCGAAGGTATCCTACTACCTAACTTCAAATGATATTACAAAGTTATAATAATCAAAACAGCATGGTACTGACAGAAAAATAGACACACAGACAAATGGAACAGAACTGAGAGCACAGAAATAAAACCTCATGTATATGGGCAAATAATTTTTGACAAAGGAGCCAAAAATACACAATGGAGAAAGGAAAACCTTCTCAATAAATCGTGCTTGGAAAATTGAAAAGGCATATGCAAAAGAATGAAACTAGATTACAGTTGTTCTTATGTAAAAAAGTTAATTCAAAATAGATCAAATATCTAAGTAAAAGATCTGAAACAATAAATTACATGGAAGAAAACATAGGTACCAAACTCATAATCATTGGTCTTAGAGAACATTTTATGAATTTGACTCCAAAGGCAAGAGATGTAAAAGCAAAAATAAATGAACGGGACTATATCAAACTAAAAAGCTTCTGCACAGCAAAAGAAACTGCCAACAAAACAAAAAGACAAGCAACCAAGTGGGAGATGATATAGCAAATGGGTTAATATCCAAAATACGTAAAGAACTCATACAACTCAACACCAAACAAATAATCCAATTAAAAATGGGCAGAGGACCTGAAGAGATGTCTCTCCCAAGAAGACATAGAAATGGCTAAGAGATAAATGAAAAGATGTTTGACTTCTCTAGATACTAGGGAAGAATTACCATATGACCCAGCAATCCCTCTTCCGGGTATCTACCCAAAAAACTCAATAACATTTATTTACAAAGACATATGCACCTGTACGTTCACTGCGGAATTATTCATGGTGGCCAAGACATGGAGACAACCAAAATGTCCTTCGATAGAGGACTGGATAAAGATGTGGTATGTATATACTGTGGAATACTACTCAACTGTAAAAAAAGATAATGTACTGCCATTTGTGACAACATGAACAGACCTTGAGTATATAATGCTAAGTGAAATAAGTCAGTCAGAAAAAGCTAAGGACCATAAGACTTCACTTACATGTGGAATAGAAAACTGGAACTCATAGACACAGACAACAGTATGGTGGTTACTAGAGGGAATGGGGCAGGGGCATAGTAAAGGGGCCACAAATATATAGTGATGGAAGATGATCTGAATGTGCGTGGTGGAAACACAATGCAATATACAGATCATTACCATAGAAATGTACGCTTTAAACCTACATGATCTATTAACCAATGTCACTCCAGTAAGTTTAATTTTAAAAAAGAAATGAAGTATTGACTTATGCTGCAAGATTGATGAACCTTGAAAATACTATGCTAAGAGAAGTCAGATGCAAAAGGCCACATACATATTGAGTGAGTCAATTTTTATGAAATATACAGATTAGGCAAATACATAGAGAGAAAGTAGATTAGAGATCATAAAGGGCTATAAAAGGGGCAGTAGGTAGTGACTGTTAATGGGCACAGGATTTTGTCTGGGAGTGATGAAAAGTTCTGGAAATAGACAGTGATGAGGGGTATACAACATTGTGAAAATACTAAAAACCACTGAATCATATACTTTAAGAATAAAAGCTAAACTATAAAATATCTGGGATTGCCAATTATTTAATCTCTAAATGTCTTGTTACCTTAACCAACTGGCATCTATAAATGGATTCAGAAGGCAGTCAAGGAAGTTTGCAAGGAGGTTAGAAGACTTTGCCTGGATGCCCCCCACCACTTTGCAGAGCCTTGCTTTAGAAGGACAATATGTTCTGGACTCAGATTCAGCTGTGGCTTCAAACAACTTGGTTACCTGTTCTAAAGCCTCATCTCATTATTTGTAAAATTGAAGCAGAAATATTTAATGTACTGTGTATGGGAGGATTATACAATAACATGCTCAGAGAGTTTTGCCTTTAGTAAACATTCAGTAGATGGTAACTATTTGTATATTTAGGGGACCTACTCTTCCTCCCTGACATAGAAATATTTCTGACTTAAACAGTAGAAGTATCTTCTGTTCCATTCAAATTATTATTATTTCTATATCTTTTGCTTATAATTAAGTCTGTATATGAATTCCAGATAAAAAATGAAAGTAATCACCTACTCAGATGGTTGGTTCTGTGTGCTAACCACGAATGAATGGCTATTACATTTTCATCCAGGTGTTTAGTCAGAAGCAACCCTGAAATTATCATTTATATTTGATTCTTTTCATCAGTGTCAGCTGTCCTAAATGATACATTTATGTAGGACCCATGTGTATAAAAATATTAGATGCAAATTAGTGCCTAATAAATTAAACAAAAATTTAAGATATTTATTGAGTCATCTCTTTTGCTATGCTTTAAGCCTGATGTTGAGAGGGAGAAGTGCAAAAAAAAATGTGGAAGAGGCATGTTCTTTGAGTTCTAGACTTGAGCTGATCGTGTTCATGGAGAAGAATGCTGGTGATTATGGACCAGATTTAGGAGCAGGGAATGAAAATTTATCTTCCTTCATCATTAGAAAGGGCCCACAGTTAATATTCTGTTGTGATCTAGGAAGAGAATTTTTTTTATTAAAATGAAAGTAAAAAATCAGTCTTTAATTCCTCTGACAATGTGGCAACAAAGAAATGATTTACTTTTTAGCAGGAGTTAGCATTAGAACACAGTATGGAAGACTTCCTAGCCATAGAACTATTTGAGTCCAGAAATAAATTATCTCGGTAATTTATTACAAAATAAAATAGTAGTAATTAATTCTGTATATTTGAAGAATAAAATAACCAAAAATATATTATAATAAATGTAAACATTTTTACTTAAAAATAAAATAATAGACTATAGGACTTTATAAAATATCCTCTACTCTATGCTCATATTATTTCAATATCACCAAAAAACTGGGATATCTTTACAAAACATCTGATAAAATGTGAATTGGCAACACTGAACAAGTTTCAGGCAGGGGGCAAGTGTCATTACAAGGCATAAGGAATAAGAAAAAATATTTATAACTCCATTTTGCATTTTCTGCACTTCTTTAGTATACAGATTTCAAATTTTAAATTCTCTAATGGCTGAAGTTACTTCCTTTTACAAAAGCCTTTGAAAAATTTTCATTTCTTAGTTGGTTCGCATTAAAGACTCTAAGAAGCTTGAAGAAGAAAAAGTCTTTCCAGATGAGCAAGAGGTTGGATAAATGTAATGACATATGGTTTGTTTTTTATAGCTACAATATGGAAAAAATAGAAGCATAACACATGTATTCAATGATATATATGTATTTATATATAAAATATATATTCTAGTTACAAATTATGAGATAAGATTATTTTGTACAAATGTGATATTGTTTTCTTTCTTTTTCTTGTTCCCTTTATGAATAAAAATAACAACTGAAATTTAGAACAATTTTAAACATCTCATTATACTCAGGATCTAGCAAAAGATAAAATCGACATATGCAGAACCATGGTGCTACACAGTCCCTGCTCAGACTTGTGAGTTCTCTACAGGGTCTCAGTGCCTCGAGGCAGGAAGACTGTCCACTGAGCTTATTGCCAGGTCTTTCCCCTGCCCCCATATTGATGGGGGAACTCAAAAGTTAAAAAAAAAAATTTAGCTTCAAGTTATCACTAATAAGATTAGTAATTAATGCACCAAAAAAGCTATTGTTCCAGGAACTGGAGGTGTGACCAACCAAACTGCAAGAGACTCACAGGCAATTCAAGCTTTGTACCCCAGGGAGACTGCAAGTGTCAAGATGGTATCTGAGCCATTGCGCTCCAGGTAGAGGAGTTTGCAGCCCAGGATACAGATGAAGAGTAACAGAAAGAAGAAGAGCAAGACTAGGAACATCAAAGCAGCAGCAAATTCCCAACTATCAACAATTGAAGCTAAAAAACAAGCATTACAGAAACACAATCATAGAGATGGAGATCATTTTCAGGGTTATCAGCTGGGAGAGGGCAAGGGGAGAGTGG